GAATTAGGATTTGGTTGGGAAAGCAAGGTTCAGTTTCATGAGCTGAACCATGAAGAATTGTAACATTTCCCCCAAGTAGAGATGTGGGAAGATGTAAGGAACTGGTCAAAGATAAACATGGAACCCTGACAGGTTTGGCTCAGTGGATAGAGCGTCGGCCTACGGACTAAAGGGTCCCAGGTTCGATTCTGGTCAAGGGCATGTATCTTGGTTGTGGGCACATCCTCAGTAGAGAGTGTGCAGGAGGCAGCAGGTCGATGTTTCTCTCTCATTGATGTTTTTAACTCTCTATCCCTCTACCTTCCTCTCTGTAAAAAATCAATAAAATATATATTTTTTTAAAAAGATAAACATGGAGGCAGTGAAGTTGGTAATAGTGAACATTACAGTTTGACTGGAAAGGACAGTAGTGGAAGGAATTAAAGTCATCCTGAACCAGGGCATTGACAGCCTTGAATGCCAAGCTTAGGAGAATAAAGTCCAAAGGCAAGAAGGAGCCTCAAAAGCAATACGTGGGCTTCCAAAACTTTATTCTACTTTCATCTATTAAAATAGTAGTTATGAATAAAAAGAACAAATGAAGAAGGTAACACATAGCTTGACAATTTTTAAATAAAGTTCAAAACAACATATTGTTTAGGCACAGGTGTGTGTGTGTGTGTGTGTGTGTGTGTGTGTGTGTGTGTGTGAATAAAAGCAAGGTAATGATTAACAAAATTTAGAGCATTCATTATTTCTGGGGAGAAGTGGGTGGTAGGATGAGATGAGGAGGAGTATAGGCAGATGTCATGTAAATTAACTATTTTCAATCTTAAAGTTGGTGTTTATTCATAGGTGTTTGTCCATGGGTGTTATTAAGTATGCAAAATAGGCCCTGGTGTCCCCATGATGGCACAGAGTCATTAACCAAAAAATATGACTTATCTAAATCTGTATATTTGAGATCCACAGGAGACTAATGATCCTATAATACTAGAGGATTTTCCCAATTGGCTTGCACTGGCAGTGAGTGTTTATTTTCCTTCCCCTTCTCTTCTGGGGAACAGGTGAAAAAAGTAACTTATGAGATACAAGGGTTAAAAGTCCAGTAAGCTCATATCTTTGGGCCAGCAACAGTTTTAAGGAAGGAAGCTGCAGGGAGAAGAGTTGGTATGGAGGGAGGCTGCTCAGACAATCACACTGAACAAATAGCAGGCAGATGAGATCAAATGATTCCTCTGTGTGGGCTGCCCAGGGCTATGAGTCCTAAATTTGAAATACTCTGTTCTATTTGTAGAGTCGTGCTTCTCAGCCCTGGCTGTATATCAAAATCACCTGTGGAGCTTTAAACACTACAGATGTTCATGCCTCCACACAGACCTACTGAATCAGAACTTCTGAAGGGAGAACCCAGCTATATATATTTCCAGAAAGCTTAATAAGTGATCCTGAGGGCAGCAGGGACTGGAAATCATTCCTTGAAGATATTCTAAGTGGGCAGGTTTTTTTTACAAATGTAGATTTCAGGGTCTTAGTCCCTGAGGTTCTGGGGAAGCAAAGGAAAGGGTCTAGAAATCTGCATTTGTAATAAGCATCTTCCAGGTGATTCTGATGAAGAAACTTCCTTGGACCACACTGAGAAAATTGCCCCAAAGTTCAAACACACTAGGACCTTAGGGTGATTACTTTGTGTATTCATTTCCTAGGGCTGCCATAACAGAAGTGTCACAAACTAGGTAGCTTAAAACAACAGAAATGAATTGTCTTAGGTCTGAAGGTTAGAAATCTGAAATTAAGGCATGAGCAGTGTCATGCTCTCTCTTCAATCTGTAAGGTAAAATCCTTTCTTGGCTCTTCTAGCTTCTGGCATTTGCTGGCAATCCTTGGCACGCCTGGGCTTGTAGATGGATCACTTCAATCTCTGCTTTTGTCTTCTCTCTGTATGTCTGTCTTCTTTTTTTTTTAAGGACACAAGTAACATTGGACTAGGGCCAACTTCATGATTTCATTTTATCTTTATTATATCTGCTAAGTCCCTATTTTCAAATGAGGTCACATTCACAGTTTCTGGGTATTTGAATTTCAACATATCTTTTCAGGGAGACCATTCAACCAATAACACTGTTTTAGTTTTTTAAAAGTAGGTCCCCCAAACAACCAATAAGACGAGTTAGCTATGTTCTTTAGCTGGGGTGTCTAGATAGAAAGGCTAGTAGTTAACTGTCAAAACTTGGTATGCAAAGAATCACCTGAGAAACTTTTGCTTAGAATGCATATTCCTGAGCCTTGATCCAAAATATTAGAATTCAGTAGGCCTGGGAAAGGGCCTAAGAACCTGTATTTTAAATGATGTAAGAGATACATGTATCACACCCTTGAGAGAAACTGGACTTGAGAGAACAAGCAAGGCCAAGAAATAAGTGGTTTGAGGAGAAGGAGCCGCCAATAGCATACGCTGAAATCTGTTTTCATAACAAGCTACTCAGGTGAACCTTTGCCTTTGGGGCATGGTATTTCTAGGGAACTAAATGATACCTACTATGATTATCTTTTCTATTTGTTAGTAAATCAAAAATCAAAGTAGATATACTTTTAAGTGTTGCAAAAATGTCTTCTAGACCATTGCTCCAAAGACAGTAGAAAGAGACACAGGTCTCTTTGCTTTTGTTTCTTGTGAACCTGGAAGTTCTGCAGGAGTGGTAGGGATAGTAGGTAAGTAGACGAAGAATCATGCAGTTTACAGAATCATGCAGCTTACAGAAAGTTGGCTAGTTATTATAAACTTTAAGCTGAAATGTTCCCAGGCTGGTGGGCAAAATTCAAGATCATAGGAAGAGTAATGTGATTGTTGGAGCTATTTCTTTTTTGTTGTTGTTGTTGGAGCTATTTCTTAACTCTCCTTGGGTATGTTAACAAGCGACAGAACTACATTACACTGTCAGCTCTTTGCTACTATTGCACATAGAAGTTTGACATGTGACGGTGGTTTATATTGTTTATTTTAGTCACCCATATTAAAAATTCATGGTTAGAATGACAAGCTGAATCATTTTAAAATACTTTAATACTAATTAGTTTAGCCTATTTACACACTGGAATGTTTTTTGCCAATAAAGTAAGGTTCTATCTGTATTGTTCCCAACAGACATACACTCTCAGTTCCTTGTGATCTACAAATACTGGGGGGAAAAAGTGTATTCTGACCCCCATAGACCTAAATGAGAGAGCTAGAACACAAAAATAAAATGGGGGGAAACCTGCCTTCCTTAAAATTCCATAATTTGTTAAATTGACCCATGGCACTGGGACCTGGAGTTTGAAAATGAATCCTTAGATTGAGGTTTTCTTTAGTTCATTGCTAGGCTTTCCTGGTTAAACTAAAGAAGTGGTTCTCAGTCCTGACTATACTATAGAGTCACTTGGGGAACTTTTTTGGACCCCACCCTAGACCAATAAAATCTAACTCTCTAGAGTGGTGTCGAGGCCCCTACTGTGGAGATTATGATTTGGAACATCTTTGTTGGAGTCCAGGGTCTATATTTTAATAAGTACCTCAGGTAAATCTTATGATCAGTTAGTTTGGAAAACACAGTTTTAATCCAACTTAGTTATTAGCTGCTATTCAGTAATATGACTTTTTCTTTAACCTTTTAATAGTTATTTACCACATAGAAAAATACATTCAGCCCTGCCAACATGGCTCAGTGGTTAAGCACCGATCTATGAACCAGGAGGTCACGGTTTGATTTCCGGTCCAGGCATATGCCCAGGTTGCAGGCTGGCTCCCCAGTGTGGGGTGTGCAGGAGGCAGCCAATTGATGATTCTCTCTCATTGTTGATGTTTCTATCTCTCTGGCCCTCTCCCTTCCTCTCTGAAATCAATAAAAGTATATTTTAAAAATATTCAAAATGATAAAAACTCAGGATATTATTTTAAAACTAATTTGCCCATAGCAAACCATTTTGCAATATATCAGTTAATTTTTACTTTTAAAACATTGATATCTGTTTTTCTTAGATACCTGAATCTTTTATCTTTGTTTTGTTTTGTTTTTTCAGGAAAATAATTCTGTTGAAGAGTCTTAAGAGTCAAAACTTCTGAGCCTAAGCCTACTGCTGTCAGCATCTCTGAGACTTCTCCATCTAAGCATTACCAGGTCTGACAACACTTTTCCTCCAGCCTACAGTGAGGGATGCCAACAAAACTGTAGAAAATATATCCTCTAGACTTATAGTCTTCAAGCTATGGCAACTGGGCAGGAACCTTATAAGCTCCATCCTTAGGTGAGATTCAGAAAGACAAGAAAGGTGAATACTCAGATATGCTAAGTATAAAATATATAAAAGCCTTTAGATTACAGGAGTGGGCAAACTTTTTGACTCGAGGGCCACAATGGGTTCTTATACTGGACCGGAGGGCCAGAACAAAAACATGGATGAAGTGTTTGTGTGAACTAATATAAATTCAAAGTAAACATCACTACATAAAAGGGTACGGTCTTTTTTTTTTTTTTTTAGTTTTATTCATTTCAAATGGGCCGGATCCGGCCCGCGGGCTGTAGTTTGCCCACGGCTGCTTTAGAAAGTCTCCTCATAGACGAACCCCATTAAATGCACATAATTAGTGCAGGCATTTAGATGAGTTGAAGAGAAAACAGAGCCCTTTCTCCTTCTACACAAACAGAGCACAAGTTTGATTTAATAGTCTGAGAGATTCTTGTCTCTATGCCAGTATTACAAAGTAATTTCATAATTTTTATTTTAATTAAAGAGTAGGACTGTGAAAATGAAATATTTATTTATATATATATTTTAAATGATTAAGAAGTTCCACTAAAACTATTTGAGGGGGGAGTGCTATGCTTCAGGACAGAGAGGATGTGGCAATTGCCAAATTATAATGTCACAATTTTCTTGTTTGTGCACTACTGACTTGCCTCTGGTCATGATTGCTTTGTAGGAGACTGTTAGAAAACCTGCAGTATATTCAGAGGCAGTCTAAGTGACTGTGGAATGCCTCAAGGGCAATAGAAATCAAATAGAAACAAGTATCTACTCAAGTCTTGAGTGATGACGGAGGCGCATTTCAAGTACCACGGAACTCTCACTGGGTGGACCCATTTCCCCACCCCAGCAACAGAGGTTAACACCACTTTAGATAAGTATTCCAACCTGTATATATATGTGGGCTTATTCCTGAGCCTCCTGGCCATTCTCCTCCTTCTGCTCTTCATAATGCTCCTTCGACTCAAACATGTCATCTCACCCATCAACTCTGAGAGCACAGAAAGTGTTCCTGAATTCACAGATATAGAGATGCAGAGTCGAATCCCTTCTTATTGAAGCTAGGATGAAGAGTTTTAGTGGATCTCAGAAAACCCCTGTATGTTGATGTCAGGGAAGCTTACTTTGTTGCATGTAGTTTCCCATGTAGGGAATCCACAAGGTCTTCATTTAACAAAAAGTTGTTCGCGTTTTCTTTGTTATTCTTTATCTTGACTCTGTTTGTGGGATAACTAAGGTTCAATACTCGTTCTTTGCCAGGAATATAAAAAATGGCAGCTGGTGGGAGGGCAGGTTTCTATAGTAACCAAAGACAGCCAGGGCCTTGAGCAAACCTCAGACCACAGAAATTCATACACAGCTGTTGTAAAAACACAGGATTCCTGGAAGCTCCAAGAACAAGGAAAATTTGCCTTTGAAAGGGTTGATTGTTCAAAGAAGGTACCCCAAGAAAAGGAAAAATTTTAATTTAGCATTTGGACCCTAAAGAATCACTTCTGCTGGCATGAAGCTAAATCATGTCAGAAGTTCATGGAGGGGACCACGAGCCCTTTCCCAAAGGAACAGTGATTTTATCATCTGAGGCCATTGGGTTTGAACCAAATGAAAGAAAATATTTAAAGAAACTTTCAGTTTAAAGAACAAGTTTTCAGAAAGAAGTTTTCAGTCAATAAACTTATCTAAAGAGGAAAATGCACATTTTATATCTGATTACAATTACTGAACTTTTAAAAACTCAGATAACAACAGATATATTACAAAAATCTGGAACAATGAGCTTCCCCCAAACCAAGGGAAAACTAAGTCAAAATGTGTTTGTGACAATTATGTGTGCAGTTTCATTGCCCCTTTCTCCCTCCCTATCATGCTCCAGGATTAAGTTGCACACAAATATGAGCTTTGTTTAAAGGTGGCCTTAGCAAAGAAGGTTCAACTGTACTTTGAAGCAGAAATGAAATAATATTGGTACTCTGTCGTTAAATGATTGTGACTTTGGACTAAACATTCAAGCCTCTGGGTGCCAGGTTTTTCTTTCTGAAAAATGATCCAAGAGCTATTTAGTCATCACTAGACTCCTTTTAGATTTGAATGTAAGAAAAACAGAGAGAGAAAAAGGAGGAAAGGACTAAATAACACTCTCCAAAATCTTTACTGAGATCAATGTCTTCAAATTCACATTTTTCTTTCCTGGAAAATGCTTCTTTCTTCTCAATCCCTGCCAGAAGATTAAGTGTTTCACTTATTGCCTATAAGAGAAATATCTTTTGAAAAATTCCATTCTCATAGGTAGCCCTAGTATGCTAATAGTAGAAACAGGCTGATTTTTAAAAATCAATATTCCAAAGGGGAACCAAAGGAGATGAATACTGTTTACAAATTAGAAATTAGAAGGTTGGTCATATTTTTGACACCAAAGAACTAAAACACCTGTGTTAAATTCTGCCTGCTTAAAAAAAATCAGTTCTCTTTTGCATCTAAAAGGTGGTCATCAAATTTCACAAGGTGCTCCCACAGGAACTGCAGTGGTGGTAAGAGAGAAATGGAAAGGAGGTTAGGTTAATGCCACCTGCACTGGACATACAGCTCTAGTCTGTTATCAATTTAGATTGGCCCCTTTACTCTGCTCTAAATCTAGCTTGGTGGTGAAATTCCCAAGTGCTTTCTACTTTTATACACAGTCATTTGCCAATACTCCTCTCTCCAAGGGGCTGAAAGTGTAAAATCCCCACATGCAGAGCTAAACTTAGCAGCAAGGCTGACTCTAGCACACCTGTTACAAGAGCACACTGTTAAGAGATGGCAACTGCATTCTGCACCATTCAGAATAGATCAGCAGGTAAGCTAAGACAGATAGGGCATACACTTCCCTTTCGGCATTATATTTTCCCAAATGAAAAGTGACTCATATATTACATTTGGTGATTTAAGTTGTGTTTTTATTCAACACCCAGACTGCATATACCCTTTAAAATTTTAGTTGTTGGCAGCCATACGTGGACTTCCTCAAAGGCTGGCAATATACCCCAGAACTTCTTAAGGACACATATCGCCCCTCTCCCTTTTGTGGTCACAGTATTTGAATGCACTTTACAGTTAAGAAGTCAGTGGCTGGATAAATGAAGAAAGTGATTACACTTCCAACAGCCGTGAATAGCAAGAGGCCCAGTGCCTTGTTGCTGAACCTAATGAACAGACTGCAAATTTATTCCCTGCTCACCTACTTCCCCAACCAAAATTTTAGGAGTTTAAAACTTCTCTTTAATGACTAACTTGGATGAAGATTCCTAATTTATGATTAGGTTACTCACCTGGAAAACAAACACCCTCTTTCATCACAGCTACCCCCACGGGATCTAGATCTTCATTGAGCATCAACCAAAGCACACAGTACAGCTTGCACATTGCACTAAAATAGTAGCATAAGCACTCACAGTTTCCAGTGATAACATAAATGGAGATGGATTTAAGCAGGTGTGTCATTATGGTGACTCACATGTTATTTAATCTTTAGGAAAATAAATTCAATGTTTTAATCATAACAAAATGTAAAGAAAATAATTTGTATATTTATATTAAATAATATTATGTCCCCCAATGTATTAATTAACATATATTACTGCTCAAAAAGGCAGCTAGAACAATAGCTATAATTTGAATTTACCCATCTATCCAAAATGCTGACTTGCCAATTCCCTCTCCAACCCCTACTCTCCCCAAAAATTCACATTAGCTTAAATGTATACAAACAGGTAGGTTATTTATTTATAGATGTACTCTGTTTTAAGGTGAAAAATGATTCTTTACTTTTTATTATGCTGAACCATATGCCATTTCTGTTGGTCAAAAGTACTCAAATATTGGCAATTTCATACAATGCAACCTAATAAAAAGACACACTATATGAATTCTTTTAGTAGTAAATTCTTTTATCTTTAAAAATAATTAAATGTCTAAAAATGTCCTTTGCACACATTTCAGAATCATGGGTTGTATAAACAAGGTATATTATAAAGGCTTATAAATAAATTACGTATGATGTATTAGGCAAGAAATATTAAGGTTAATCAAGATGGGTTTAACCAGCCTAACCTTTCCATTCATGCCAAATCTGAAGCTTTGGACTCATAACTGAGTTTGAGTGCTGAAGACCATACCGTACTTCCTAAATAGGTAAAAGGGGTCCACTTAATGCAAATAAGTGGTTATATTTAGTAACACATTTTATTCACCTGCATTTGTACAAAAGGACTTTTTTAACAAAATAAAGAATTGTGTGGAAGAAAATGGATTTTTTTTGTCTGAAATCATTGATAATTAAAATAGATTCATATTGTATAAAAACATAAATATAATATTTGAATTTATATTTAGCATGTCATTTTTCATCCCTGGAAAATAAATTCTCTTTGGTTTGCTGATAACAAATATCTATTGTCTGAAGAATGTAAAGAGCATTGGTCTTGTTATTCCAATATAAATCATAACTGAAAATTTGTGGGATTTATAATTTTGAAGTGTCACTGTTTCTTTTATTCCCCAACCTCCCACCTTTTATTTTCTCCCCACTTGCAAACTTATTGGTGTGTTAGCTTGTTTCTTTATTAGTAAGATTTGAAAACTGGATGATGACTACCTGTCAATGAAGGTGGCCTGAGGTAAGAATGAGATAAGGCAACTAAAGTGCTAATATCTTTCAACATCACACCCCCTAGTCGTATATTTTTTTAATGTATTTTCCATTTTGTGCTTTCTTCATTTGATCCTCACAGCAACCATGTGAGTAATAAGTGAAGGTATTATTGTCTGTTTTACCAAAGAGAACATGAGCATAGAGATATTAGTAAGGCGTTCGTGGTTATAAAAGGTTGAGTCAAGTTGACACTTCCAGTCTTTTTTTTAAAAATTTTGTTTTATTGCTTAAAGTATTACAAAGAGTATTACATATGTCTCCTTTCCACCTCCCCCCCTTGACTTCCCCCAGCCTCCCCTACCCCCCAGTGTCTTATGTCCATTGGTTATGCTTATATGCATGCATACAAGTCCTTCAACACTTCCAGTCTTAAGATGCCTACTTTAGTACTCATTCTACCATGCTTTGCCTTCTGAGTACTGACTAGATATTTCAAACCTATCCATTTTTTAACACTCTAAGCTCTTCAAACAATAATTGAGTTCTATGATGATTAACTTGCTATGCCCTAATTCAAAACAAATAAGCAGAATTCAGCCATCACTTTAATTTTATAGACACAGCAACACATATTAATAGACTATACGAAAGTTTACACCAAAGCAAACCCTGCAGCTCTAATTTACCTGAATGAAAGGAAGAGGCAGAAATATGGATGGATTATCACTCACAATACAATACCAATTCTCTGATCATTTGACTTAATCTTCTCAGTCAATCTTCTAAGATATCTATGACTAGTGTCCTGATGCACAGATTTGTGTACATTGAAAGGAAATTAATTAGAAGAAATATTTTAATATTGCTGTTCACCCTTTCTCTAGAATAGAAGTGTCAGAGGTGAAAGAAAATTAGTAAAATGTATATGAAAATAATATATAAATTGATTCATAAAGAAGAACAACATGATATAACAACAACAAAAACATAATATAAAAACAACAAAAACATGATAGAAAAACATGATAGAAAAACAACATTGATCAAAACAATGACTGATAAATTGATTAAACTTATTCTAATATCTCCCTGTATACCATATTAAGAATAAAAACACTTTCAGAGTGCTTGACTAATTCTCCTTGTGATGAAGTATTTACAACTTTAACTTTAAGGTCACATGCTCTTCAAACGCGAGAGAAAGCAACATATAACTGACCATGCCCGAAAACGGGTTCAGGTAGGAATATTCCTGCTCCGTCTAGATTGGCACCAGTGAGAGCTTTATATGTGTCATTTTTAAACAGGGGGCCAGTTCACTGTCCCTCAGACCGTTGGAGGGCCAGACTATAGTTTAAAAAAAAACTATGAACAAATTCCTATGCACACTGTACATACCTTATTTGGAAGTAAAAAAACAAAACGGGAA